ATATATATATCATAGGGCCTGTAGGCGGGCAAGATGGACCAAGTGGTTAGAACGCGAATTTACTGACTAGAGGGTCCGCGGTTCGAACTCGACCTTTGCTTGTCGACTTCCCCTTTATAGGCTTGGTCAACCTGGCAGTATACCAGCCCTCATGCTTCCTTCGGGCGGCATGGCAGTTAGACACCGAAAGGGTGCTATAGCTGAACGAAAGTCTGTAGGCACCTCAGTGCCAATGCGTTGCCTTAGACCGGCTAAACCCATCACGAATGCAAAAAAGCAAAGACGAGGAACCCCCGCCAGGACCTGTCTTGAGTAGCCTGAATGCTTATCAGACCTCACCACATCTCATGGTTTCAGACTGTCACAGCTGCAAGGTATCAAAGTTCAATGTTAACTTCGCGCCACTTGTTTGATGTTTCAAATTTGGAGGCTCAAAATGGACAAATGGGTGAAACAAATAAATAGCTTGTGTGAATGAAGGTCGAAGGGGAAATTACTCTTCTCTATCATCTTCAGCTTTATACCGAGTACATGTACGGTGGTTACGGTTGCCACAGTTTGAATCGCCGACTAGTCGCTTTGTAAACAGATACGGGCCGAACTATGGTAGCACTATAAGAACTCGATATTCGAGGGCACTACAGTGGGATGCTTTGGTTTAAAGTCAAACACCCCGGATGCTGATGCTAACTACCGGTGGCAAAACAGTAGCCCACTTAATCGGGAAGTCCCAACAACAGACAAGCCAAGTAAGAATCCTCTCGTAAGGAGGTAGGTACTACGAAACGATCAATATAAGCCCAGAAAGTCCACTTCTCATGCAGCCGAGGGGAACTCACGGTGCACTATTGGCTGACATCACAGAAAAGGCGATAACCAACCAACGGTTGCTACAAGGACGACCGTAATGGATTACAGGCGCTATCGGGAGAACCCAAACCATGGGTGCATAGCTTGATCACCGATACCTGAGCATCAGATCAGCGGCAGTCAACACAGCAGCGATCGTCCCCTGTTCCGCAGCGGCCACAGACTTGGGCGCAGTCATACAACATAAAAGAGGGTGGATTCGATTATCAACACTGAGATACACGGGAAACCCACCACTACGGTAGCAGGAGCATCTCTCTCGCCATCTCCAGATTTCAGTCAAAGACCTACCACAGAACCTTATTGTGTCATGGAGTCGAAATTCCAGCTGGAACACCTATGAGCTATTGTCACAGCGCTGAGGCGAAAGTGATTGTTCCATGAAAAAAATTCGACCATTTTCGGACGTCTGAAGTTGTTTAATCAACTGCCGGCAAATGAAGGTCTGGTCCATGAACCCCCTCCCAGGAAGAAACTCCCATGCGTCGGTTTCTTCCGATATCCGATCAACCTGTACAAAAACACGGTTTGGATGATTTCTTGTGCACCACACAGCGTTCTGCACAGAACCCAGTCCCCTTTCAAGACCATTCAAGAGAGACTCAACCAATCGTAGTTATACGAACCATCTTGAGCCAACGTGAAACTGAAGTGCCGAGGCATTTTGCAGCGCCTGATGGAATGTCAATCAAGTTGCTGCGTTTAACAGTTATGTGACCAACATTTGCTCACAAGGTCAACTTCGATCGACTGAATACTCGCGAGAAAGAAAAATCAATACAATTCCGATTCACTCTTCACCAGAAGAGTGCAAGCAAAAGATTGTTTGGCCACACAACGCGATACGCATGACAGACACCACACGCTCACTCGAAAATGAATTTCTATCCACATCGACGTGGGCATCGCACTCAGTTAAAGCGTCGCGAAAATCGATACGAGTGGATTTATAACTTCGGGCATCATCATCGGAGAGGTGAGAACCATAGATAGGATTTTCTTTGACGCTGGGGGGTTATTCTGAGAAAACAAGCTGATTTCGTGCATGCACAATAAATCATTGCCGGTGATTCGTAAATTTAGACCCCAGTTCAATCTGAGCTTGCAGCGCCAGACCACGTTAGGGAGGCATGTCGGCCCGCAACTTTCACTGATGAGTGGGAAGAGAAGGTAAGAGTTATAGATTGGAGGTGAGAACCTGATCAACTGGTTGGCACCAACCTGTTCTGCTGGTGTTGGGAATTCGGACAGCAATATATTGAAGGTTGTACGGCCGGGTCATCATCATCATCGACAGCATATTAGTGTTCGACATTGATGCTTCACTGCCGGGTAGCCTATCAGAATCATTAGGCATTGGAAGTCACCACGAGATTACCAATTAGAGACATTATACTACGTTGTCGTGCAACAAACCAGTCACCTTTTGGTTGCTTCCACCCTTTACATAAATTGATGAAAGCAGCACTGTGACGCAGACATCCAGGGGATTTGCGTGATGTGCAGAGCGTGTCCATCGAGGTGTTTCTTATAAAAAAATATCTGATGTATTTCAGTGTTATTTATTCAGATGACACGTTTTATGTTACGCAGGGGTTATCCCGTTTCCCAGTTGCCCACCGGGTAGTACCACACTGCGCTAGTGTGTACCCTACGCTTGACAGAAAGACTGACACCAATCAAGGCATACACTACTGATGAAGCAGGTGAGTAATGCCTGCTCAAAGCACTGCTCAAGTAAGTAATCGACAGCCAAGTTGAAGACTACTGGGCTGTTCGATTATGTTTGTTTATCGAAGCCAAATATTTAAAAAATGTGAAGGAAAGTTTAGGAACAAGCCTGAGAACATTGAGTTTCGCAAACCGTGTACCAATGAGATGTTCGCTATTGTATCCGGTTGTTTGCAATCGCGTTTCGAAATAAATACTGCCGTATCCGATTCATGTGATGACCTATGTTCAGGCACGCTGAGCTCGAGACAGCTCAGTGGTCAAGCCCTGAACTTACCGCCCAGAAAGTTCGTAGCTCGAATCCAACCTAAGCACCCAGGCTGCTTCAGGCTTGAACAGCCTGGGAGTATCTCAGCCCTCGTGCTTCCTTCGGACGGCATGGTGGCTATTCACCGAAAGGATACTACAGCCCAACGATTATTACTATTATTATGCATACAAAAGAGTTCTATGGTCTGTTCAATCGAAGTCGCGCCCTGTAGCGATGGGATATTCTGACTTTTTCTACGAAGTTCTTAACTCCCTACATGGTATTCCTAGCAGATACGAAAAACGTACTGTGCATACATCAATTTACGGATGCCAGTAGCTCGAAGATTCACAGACATTGCCACACTGAATGTTCGGTTATCAATCGGTTGGAAAAAGTTTGGAGCAGACTGAGAAGTCATTGCTTCAGAAAGGCTTGGTAAACAAAAGGTAGTTTTTTATTTTGGGAGGCATTTCGCTTTTGAGACAAAAGCCTCATCGGGCCAAGTGAACGGATCACCAAGTTAGCCAAGTTTTAAGGCAGACGGAGAACCAATCACTAAGACCTCTTCATATTGGCGCACTAGATTAGTCCTTAGTGTCAATTAGCGGTTCTTGTCGGTTAGTGCGGTTACCAAAATATTGATGGATGGGGGAGTTTCAAATTAATTCTGATAGGGCTTGGTTCCTTAATCTTCCACTTCAATGTGCTTCAGTTGTGTCAAAAGCGAAACACTGTCCAAGTAAAAAACTACCCATTGCTTAACAAGCCCTTCTGAAACGAATGTTCTGTTACTTTGCGTGTGCCACTTTACAGAGATCGGCGAGCACGTCTAAATCAGAGATAGTATAAAGTAACGGATGTCGAATTTGTATTGAACACACCGAAAACTTTGTTTTCAATACTCCGCCATTAATCATCTTGTAAGACTCCATATACCATTTCTAGCTCCTGGCCTCCCAAGGTGACAGTTATCCAAGGCTAGGAAAGTATTTGACATTTTGAGAGACAAAAGACATCAACTCGGGTAGCGTTGATCACCAGCGGATGTGGCAAGTTCTCTGCTGATATTGCGCACCACCTATGGAAGATGGTACTATCCACAATTTCCGTCTATCACGCTTTTGGCGTTGACAGTATCTTGGGAACGGCTACTAAGGATGCTATCACTGGGGAAGGTGAAAATGAGGAGAGCAATAAGGCAGACCTCAGACAGACATCAAGGGATGATGGAAACAGATCTTCACTTTACACAAAACAACGCAAGATTATAGCGCCCCATATCTGACCAATTGAGTTTCAAGCCAATGAAGGCTTCTTTAGCTATACTCAGTGGTCAACACTAGGCAAAACTTGGCCAAGGGCGAAACCACAAAAACTGGACAAAACTCACATGTTTAGGTGGATCCTCCTTCATTGTCGAACAGACCATAGTATAGCTGTCCAATAAACAGACAACAACTCGTCGGATATCCTTGGAACAAGCAATTACTTGCTTCTCCATTGCTTCAATCGACATCTGGCGAGTTGTCAACAAATTCTGTAAATTTTTGATTTCTTCAGCACGCTGGTCCAAGCTGGCTTGTAGCTGCAATACCTCCTTTTTCAATCCTTCCTCAGTCGCCAAATCCGGTCGAGCGTCCAACTTATCTCGCTCGTGGTAACGCCACAAATCGTGTTGCATGCTGCCTATTTGACGTAAGGCGACCGAATACCGGTTCTCGCTTAATCGTAGTGCCTTGCGGAGACGCTTGTAGGCAGGTTGGGACTTTATGGCCTCATCAACATTGTCATCCAAGTGCATAAGCAAAGACAATGATGAGTCGGCCATTGCATCCTTTCCATGGATTCCACTGACGTCACCCAAAGAGCCCAGTTCTGCTTCCTTGGCCTCGAATTCGGAATCGGCCTCCGACTTGACCGACATTATGGCATCCAGCTGGGCCAACAGACCATTGATACGCTCCTGTTTGTTTGACACCTCACTCGTAGCGAGTTCCAGCGATCGTTGGGTGTCTTCTAGGCTTCGGACTAACTCCTTCTTTTCTGTCTCGAGTTGAGCCAATTCAGTCTGGAATTTGGCCATTTCTGAAGAACGAATCTCAGTGAACAGGTCACCGGGAGATACGAGATTGGGAGTCCCATTTGTAGTTTTGACCATCGAGGCAGACAGGAGACCGTCATCACGATTGTTATGTGCTGCTGGAGGAAAAGAAGAAACAAATTAGAAGGCATTGCCAGCTTGAGTATGCGCATCATGCCTGTTGTATAACACTTTCAACTTGGTCGCCTATGAGTTATCAAAGGGAATCAAGTAAAAGGCTCACTCGAACCGATACTAACCTTAGTAACAGGGTAAAACAGAAGTACACATTGATTGGCCTGGTTAAGTGTCGACTGACATGTAAGAAAAAAGGGGTTACTTTAGGGCGAGATGGCTCAAGTGGTTTAAAGCGCGAATTTACTGACCGGAAGGTCAGGGGTTCGAACCCGACCTCTGCCTTTCGACTTCCCCTGTCTAGGCTTGGGCGACCTGGCAGTATCCCAGCCCTCGTGTTCCCTTCGGGTAGCATGGCAGCTAGGCACCGTGGGGGTGCTACGGCTGAACGATTTCATTTAATTTCAGGCCGCCACCAAACACAGCTAAGAACGCCGTGTAATTGCATTTGCGGACTAATTCTTAGAAAGTACTTGTTATTTTATGCCAGGAAAGACCTGAAATGGTGATAGAGGAAGCACAGACATAAGCTTGCCACAATCTTCACGAGCAGTCCAGAATTGAAGTGCCTGGTGCTAAATTCAAGTGCCAACAGATGAAGGACATCAAAATTCAGCGAACGAACATGGCGGAACAAAACCATCACATACCACGTTTTGCTAATGCGTTCAGACGTCCAGATCAATTTTGAAACAGTTAACTTGGTCAAGTTTGGTTAAGAAACATCTGTGCTGGTAGTATCATATACTCTTTCAGCGTTTCACTCGATTTTTACTTACAGTTTGACTTCAAAACCCGAAGACCAAGCCATATCAAGTAAGCAGTACGTAACCTCATCTTCAAACTGTGAGAAGAGCCTCCGTTGATCCATCAACAGGAGCTTGACGAACAGTCTGTCGGTCCCTGGAATTGGAACATGCGTGGCAAGTTGCTCCTTAAAAACTGAGCTCCTTAATGTTTTTTTTTCACTAAACACCTCTTGAGACAAGGGCTTTGTAGGAGAATCCTCGTTATCCTTTTGCTCAAGTGCAGGCGACCTGGCGATGTCCCAGTCTGTGCATGACATTTCCGTCACGAGGACACTGAACCTTACAGTGGAGTGGCGGTTTGTGTACCTCCGCGACACATTGAGCTATACTGGGGGTGTGCGCGCGACACACAGTCTCCCATGCCAGGTTGGTCAATGGCTAGAGGTGTGACGAACACAGTCTCCTGGTCATCCAGGTTGGGGGCTGGAAAATGTGGCGACATATTCCGTAAAAATGGCAATGCATTTGCCCAAAGCCGCTGCCTTGTGGTTGGACTTTTGAGTCAAAGGTTCTGATTGAGGGCCCTAGTCGTCCTTTTGTTTAGGTGTGGGCGCCATGGCAGTATCCCAGCCCACGTACAATCATGACATTTACAGCTGACGATACTCTCATGCCACATCGGCCGCCGCGTGGTGTCATCACCCGGGTCGCCTAACTTGCAGTATATATCAGGGCGGGTATTCGTACGACAGTGAAGCATCAGCGTCAACACAGATGTTGCTATCGCTGATGATGATGCTTGTGGTGATGCGTGACATTCTATAGTGAAACAATAACAACGAGGTTGGGCTGTTGACAACGTTCTCCCGTAAGAAAATGTTCCTCGAAAAGACATCCCTCAGAGTAAAACTGTGGTACCCTGTTGCGATGTAGAACTGCATTATCACTGTGCTTCTGTTGTTTGGAAACTATGGATGGTTTGAGATTCGGTAACACTGGCGTTGGTGGATGGATGTTCCGCATTCACCTGTTGAAACTAAGGTTGGTTCTGCGACTAGCCTTTCGCACCAGGCTTGCCACAGCAATCACTCAAACCTGGGGCATGTAAGTGTCATTGAAACCTAAATACAATTCCATCATCACTGGATTACATACTTCACGACGTACCCCATACTTGCGGGAACAATCTGGCTGATACCTTGAGTTCAGAAACCCTTGGAGCTTGAAACTCCACTGACCACAAGGATTAAACCAACTAGGACAGACAAAATGGCAAAATAGAGCAAAATTTAAAGTTGTGTGGGATACAGATTGTTGACTTAAGACGGTAGCAACGGTTGGTGTATGTCGACCGAAAGGTAGAGACCTGTCGTTGTTTGGCCATTGTGCTATGGAGCGTCTCCGTACGGAAACTTGGTTCAGTTTGCAATGCAGAAACGTATTCTGCTGTATATTCTGAACAAAGTCCACGGCCTCTCGTTTCAATCGCTCAACTGCGCACAACTCCAGGACCTTTGTATTGTCTCGCGCCAAAGACTCTTGAAAAGATCTGCGACTTTTGGACGGTTGGTACCCGAACTCCAAAATAGACTTCGGGCCATATTACCGATGTCCAAGAAATATCATCAGAAGCCACAACGGAAAACACCGGAACCGCCTCAGATTCCGGTAACAACTCCCACATGCCTCATATCGGAGCCGACAGTACCAATTAGCTTTCACATAATCTTACGAATCGCTATTAACACCGCTCTCACATCAATCACCATTGTTAGCAATAGTTAGCCATACCATTTTCAGCACTGAACCGTGCCTGCGGGTATCTTGACTCTTGGTGCCAAATAATAAACTATTTTCTGGCCATTCATCTTGCTTGGGGAATACTTCTGAGGTAGAAACCACTTATTTTTGTCTCAGGTATTCCATAATCCGGACTTTCAGAGAACTTTGAATAAGTTGGCTGATGTGCGAAGGATGAACCTTTTCAGCAACCTTATCAGTAGTGTGCTACGTTCGGCTTCGAATTGTTTGGAGCTATTACTGAAGGTGGGCGTGTACAAGCTACGGCTGAGTGTGATGCACGGCGAACAAATAATCACAGTGGGGTGGGGTAGGAAGAAAGGAATACGCGAAAGTATAAGGGAGGTTTCGGAATAAGAATTTTTCTTCAGCTTGCCATGCATCGATTAACTGATACGCCAACTATTCCAGCTCCATGTCCTCGAGGCGCACGAAGAGTCGTGGAACTGACTCGAGAATGGAACACATGAGTGTGCTTCTATAATTACAACCCCGGTTGTCTATATGACCTAGATAACACTCGAAATGGTACAGAGGATGGCCTCTGAATGTGTGCTGAGATCTGGTCCTAGTCCTAGTAGGTTTAGAACAGCCACTGCCGTCAAGCAATCAACAGTGGATTTAGATCGACTACACTCCTGACGTGTACCGGCAGATGGGTTAAGACTGCTACCGAGCGTCAACGTTACGATGCGCACTTGCGGGAAACAAGTAAATCGATATCCACGCTGTGGTAACCTACTACTTTTGCGCCATTTCAACACCAGCACTAGCCAAGAGACATTCAGAAATGGCGCGACTAGTAGCTCTTGTCAATAAATCAACCAACTACTTGTTTAACTGATGACTTGTCTAACTAACGGGCTCATCCACGTGTCGTGTCGAGGATTGATCACCTCGCTGTGTCCCATTTGCGGAAACAAGTACCACGAGATACCTGGATACATAGCAGGAGAGGCAGAACTGATCGTGTGCACGCCACCTGCGAAATTAGGGTACCATAGATCTATTACATCGACCCTCGGAAATACTATCGATATGACGAGGTGACACGACCAGTCGCATCACTATACGTATTCTCCTGTTCACTGACCCACTACCCGTTGCTACCATTTATTTTATGAACCAACAATCCCCAAGATGGACAACTAAAACCTCACTGGATAGGAACCCTGGGACTCAATCCATCAGTGGCTAATGACACTAATAGACATGGTTCAGTCACAGTCAGTGGCACTCGTGCATCAAAACTACCACGCAGCCGTCCAGTCTCCCCAACCCAGTGAACACAGCATTGCTTTCAATACTTGACTATGTTTTCCAAGCACTCCCAGTTTCTGGTGACCTAACCTGTAGCATCTGGGATCAGTATACCCTTGGTAAGTGGTGTATAGTTGAACAACCCCGGTGAACTATACACTACCTACTACAATAAGTTGTAGCAACTCCAACCACCGTACACACGTACACCGTTCTTGGTTTCCCGAACTGAATTGAGATGCTATCTATAAAAAGGAATAGGGATTCTAGGTCCGCAGAAATTGCAATCCACAATTGGTTTCAGCGAAGTAAGACGTGGCCATATGAGGAACAAGTTGTTCACATCGCCTTTGGTTGCAGTTATCCACGTCTTCACATTTTCTCCATCACACAACACCTTGTGTAATGGATGCCTCACGATTATAGTGCCGCCGTCGGATCTGGGCTAGACGCGGCGGGTCGCGGCAACATTTACCGATTTCATCGTGGAGAGTTTCTTCCACATGGCTAACTATCACTTTTAGTCGTAAGATATCTGGTCACAGAGACACTGTCGAGCAGGCATAGATGTCTACACCCAACAGTCCATTTGTGTGCACACGGATCCGAGAGCCATCCAGTATGTGACAGTCATGGGGACCGTGGAAACCGATAAGAAGTCATCAGCATTAAGAGTACGGACAGTCTATCAATCGATGAAGTTCACATCTCATATTAAGAACCTTCTTGACCGCCCCAGTCACTAGGGGAGTTGCATCACTTTTGGAGGGCTCCACACAATGAACGGAATCAGATAAAAAATGTTTGCCAAAGTTTCACAGAAATTTGTTGGCAGCAGCGTCACCAACTCCACCTGACGTTTGACAGAGGTTGTACCACGTGTGGCCTGTAACGCATCTGAAGGCTAGCAGAGGACAGCCGTACAATACCGCCATCATTTCTCTTGGGTTCAGATAGCAATGCCATCTAATTTAACTGATTCATGTGTTCACTTCCGCCGGTTTAAAGTCAAAATTTGGTTAATTCCTCAAATGGGTACAGTGGGGCTCTTATGGTGGCACAAGAAACCTAAGCTCATGGGCCACAAGTGGGATTTTAGCCGGATAAGGCTTCCCTTTTCTAAAGACTTCCCAACAATAAGTGGTGTCCGACAAGGATGTCCATTTTCTCCCATT